ATTTCTGTTTTGATGTTCTGTTCTGCTGTTCTACCCTCTTACCACTACCTTTACCAAGGTAGACAAATCTTTAATATTTATTTTTATCCAGACCACAATAATTGATTATATTATATATATATATATATATATATATATATATATATATACTATCTGTTGTTGTGTTTTCTGTTTTAATCATTGTTGGTGAAATTTATGGAATCTTTTCGGATTCGACTTTATAGATTTCGATAACAAGGAGAGTATGCTTCTGTTTCAAAATAACCAAAAGTTGTGAAAGGGACGGATTCGATATTTTCGCAGGTTAATTTGGGTCTTGAATATATATAAATAGTCAAACGCGGATAATTGTGGACACACATGGATTTGAAGAATCGAATTTCGACCGACGGTGAGCTGTGAACACTATAAAATCTCGTTTCTGAGACTATGGTACAATTGGACAAACCTGTTCCTTTGAAAAAATATGTCTGCCTTTGGAGCACAGATAAATCATTTTATTAAAGTTAATAGATGCAGTAATCCTTGTTTTATAAACCTCATTTGCTTTTAACTATTTCAAATATATTTTTAAGTAACTTTAAGAATAAAAGATACCCGATTCAGGAGTATCTGACATGTTAAAACTCGAATGTAATATATTTAATTTCATGTCAAAAGTGGCCCAAACAATATATAGGATAAACTAAGAATAATTTAGGCACTCATTTTAATGTTGACAGATCGGATATCAAATTAAAGAATGACAAGCCTGTTTCTAATCATCTCAACCTCGACGACCATTCAATAGACGATCTCACCCTAATCCCAATTGAGCGCATACAATTGACTTGACGGAAGATGAAACTACGATCAATCTAAGCCCTTTGGATTGAGACATTGAATACAACAAGACCTATAAGACTCAATATTCACCATTAAGGCATAGCACCCTTTGTTGTCCCGTTCAATACAACCAGCAATCGAGCAAGCAAGATAGTAAAAGGTCCACTATAAGAGCCTTCAAGAGAAATTCCCCCATGTCAATATTCAGATAATGATATAAAAAATCAGAACTTTAATGACAATTTTGTTCATAGCAAACTAAACACAATAAGTACATAACAGATACTATACTTCTCGCCCAATAGGCGAATTTTATTTTTTCTAATTTCAGATCAGTACATAACAGATACTATACTTCTCGCCCAATGGGCGAATTTTATTTTTTCTAATTTCAGATCAGTACATAACAGATACTATACTTCTCGCCCAATGGGCGAATTTTATTTTTTCTAATTTCAGATCAGTACATAACAGATACTATACTTTTCGCCCAATAGGCGAGTTTTATGTTTTCTAATTTCAGATCAGAACAGAAGAAAACCCAGAATCCGGACCCTTTATCCCAATTTCTCAATAAAATATTAGTTCCACCCTAGGCCTGAGAATCAAACCCTCCTTTTCTGGAAATATAAACTATATGATATATATTATATTACAGATATATACCCAGTTAATAAATACTCTTATTTTGAATAATGTAATAAATCATAGAGACCGTCTGTTGTCTTGTGATACTTGAAATTTTAATATGCAAATTGACAAAATGTTCTAATTTTATTATATCTTAAATTAATAGCTTTTTATCATTTTATTACTTTCCTACGGAATTTGGAAATCACAATCAAATTTTTGTTCTCTTGTATAAGTCGATAAAAAACTAAAAACCAAAATAATTATTCTCTGGGAAATGAATTAAGAACTGGGAGTACATATGTCTTAACAACCTACTGTTATAATAAAAAGGGGATTTCCACTGAAAAACAAACGTTTAATAAATCTTATGATGAATGGGGGTATCACAGTAAATAAATAACCATCATAATAACAATAAATATACTCCGAAAAACAAACCACATTAAGAGTTCCCCCAGTCAACCATGTATAATATTAATAATCTATGATAAAATAAAATGTAAGCCCACGAAATGAAATAAAATGAATGGAGTTTTACGTCCTACTTTTCTGCATCATGTGGGCTAATAAAGACGGGCAACGCCATGTAGGTTGCAATGAGGGAAATTTTGCCAGGACAGCGGCATTAGCCTCCTCTTTTTAGATTTCCAACTGTCGAGGGATCTTTAACGTGCACAGCCTGTAGCACACGGGGCCTCGGTTTATTGTACCATCCGAACGACTAGACGCTTTTTCCATGTCAGCCCCTCTTACTTGCATCACTGACAGGGGGGAACCGGATTAAGCCCACGAATGAATTGAATATATCTTGATGATGATGATAACAAAAGGATCTGATCCATGGGGAACAACGTCTTAAATAAGCTTTGAAATATCACTATATAGCATGGCCCGTCATTAGAACCGAACCTCATATCAGTAAGTGGGCAATTTTCAGCATTCCCCTGACCATCTGCTTTATTCCAGTTTAACTGTACATAATCTGTCTATAGAATACAGTAATATTCACGTAAATCAGGTAAAATCGAACACAAGTCATGGCCCGCAAAAAATCTTACAATCAATTTTGTCGTAAGTTTTTAGTGGAACGGAGTCCTGATCTCTGAAGTTGTGTATGCCCTTATGTTTGGTCTGTAACACTTTTAAAAGTACACTTGTCATTCTAATTATATGTCCAGCTTATTTCGAAGTATCCACAGTATTTAAAGGCAGTTATACCACAGGAAATTGTCCATGGCACAGTCTGTAGCAATTACACGCGTTGGTTTGTATGATTGTACTACGGAAGTCAGTTCCTGCAATGCAAGAGTGACCAAAGCCAGTATCTAAAGTAAATTTAAGGGAACCTGTTACTGGATGTAACGCATAATTGTCCTTATACCAAACACAGTTCAGAATCTTCTTGCCAAGTGGAAGTCAGCATTAATTTAGGTTTATTACGGAAGTCCAAAGTGGCCAGTGACACCAGCCTTGTAAATTAGGTTGCCGTAGATTCCCCAATGCCAGACAGAGCAAAAGATTAGGCCCAATGTTACCTATGGTGTTTCAAATATTTCGTTTAATCAGTCCTTTATCTGTAACAATCGTCTAAAAACACCATCCAATCCCACGAATTTTAAAGTTTTTAAATCCCGCTGACTGAAGCTGGGTGTTAGAGCGTATAGAATCAAGGTTCCTACTGTAGAAATAAATAACAGAAACAGCAGTCGGGTCTGTAGTTCCTCTGTTGAAACTGAAATATATTTAAAAAATCCCTCCTTTATCTGATATAAACATTGTATACTGTTGTAATACTGTGTACAATAGAAATAGAAATATTAAAACAGAACCCAAACAATCATATTGTTACTCCGTTTCACGCTATGATATCTTCAGACAAATGACCTATTGTCAGCCTGCGTACCTACGGACAAGTAGAACTTATTCTACATGTCTACACTTTGTAATATAATTGTTATTTAAAGAACGATTGATTCTCTCAGGCGTTGGAGGTCATAAAATGTTCTGAAAGTAGGTATGTTTCAGCCTCGCTTAGGAGATTCCTTAGCTTATCTAAAACCATACGCCTTTCAAAATCTGCAAAAATCATTAATATATATTTACTTACCTAATTTGAAACACAAAGTAGATCCGCTATTTTTACCCCCTCTGTCAATAAAATAGATTAATTGTGAAATCAGCAGAGTAACCAAGGATAAACAAAAGAATACCATGTCGTGTCGGATGCCCAATGAATATAGTAAAATATACCCAATATATACCCACAAATTAAATAAACTTATCGAAATCACACTGAAATTATTTATAATACGTGTTAAAATCACAACCGTTCCAACAGAACCGGCGACTGCGCACACATAGTAAATTGCTGGAAGAATCCATTTGGCGCCAAAATAAAAACATAAACACGCAGGAATACTGAAAATCGTTGATATAAATATGGCGGGAATGACCCTTTTTCTGACGACAATTACAGCCGAATGTTCTTTATTGACATGATGGCAGCAGACATTTCTAGCAGACACACAAATACCATAGAGAATCGCCAGACACACACTTCTGTTGATTCCGAAAAGAAAATGCATTGGAAAAACAATCATGGCGGCACTCAAACACGTCACTGATATGGCTACATTTGACGTAACAGACATGCTGCTTTTAGTCGAGAAAAACACGATACAGGCAGATATCACTGGTTCAAATAGCACGATAGCCATTACAGACGTTCGTTCGGTGTCACTGATAATGCTGATATACCCCTGTACCATAGCATATATAGAATGAGCAATTGCAAATATGACGAGAGGTTCTCGATAAGATTGGTTTTCTTTGTTGCTTTGAAATGAAATCACAATAGACACAATCATACCCTCACTTACAGCTATAAATACTTGTAGCCAAATTGAAATGTTACTGTTTCCAGCAATCAAGTCTACTACGGATTTAGAAGCTTCTTGTCTCATTATCATCACAAACAACGATAGTACCACCAAGCCAGAGACCGTCCCAAATGACTCCCATGGTCGTTTTCTTAATGCGTCCCTGAAATGTGAAATCAGTGTTGGTGAAAATCTGGCATTTACAATATATATGATTAGAAAAATACGAAGTAAAAGTAATAACAGAAAGGGAAATAGACTTAAAAAACCTAAATTCATATTACAACCTGACCTTCGCTAACTTTGACCTAGCCTCGGTTTATTGTTCTTCAATATCAGACCCTCCGACCTTCACCACCAATAAGGGGAAAATGGGTTGAAAAAACCTTCAGGTTAGCGATCAATCTAACTCACTGACCCACTGCAGATTCCGTACAGTGAATAAAAATAAGAGTTATGAGGCATGTCATAATATCCGTGGCGTTTTTGTCATATTCTGGTAGATTTTTTTAGGTCCAGAAAAAGTGACTGCTAAATCAAAATGGACTATCAGAACTGATTACTTACATCTCTTCCATAAATAACTGAAATTGATTCTGCCGGTTCTCCAAGTTCATCGAATCTGAAATATAAACAGTATTAACTATAAGGGTTTAGTTTTGAAGAAAAATTCAATACGGCTTCAGATATCCGTGGAAATGAAATGAAATGAATGGAGTTTCTAGCCTGCAGAAACACTGCCTTATTAAGGGGTAAATTGTTTCTGTAAGTCCTTATTAATGTTCAAAGTATATTTAAACGATTGGTCATCGAAATGTATCCTGTGGAGACCACACGTAGTATGACAGCTATGGATCATACAGTGTGGCACATGATTCACTATTTAAAGTTTTTTAACTAATCGTACCTTAGTCTCAGAAACGGGAAAAAATCAAATGGCCAAATCCGTCGAAATTTGAGGCTTCAAATTCATGTGTGTCTAGAATTATCCGCGTATGAAAGTTAAAAAGATAAGTCGTCTTTTCTTGAGACACTGCCATATATAGAAAAGACATCTTTAGAAATAGGAAAATAAATTCTTAGTTTGAGATATTTTTGAAGTAATCACGCTATTTCCCTACATTTCTAGTATTTCTGAAGACTGTTTACATATATTCAAGATTTAAAATCAACCACCCAAAATGGTGCACAATGCCTTTAAAGCAATACAACCGACCAAAAGTTGTACCTGTATCCTATATCCCGATTGTCTGTTCGCTCACCTTTGTAGGTGACATTGGACTATTTATTTTGGTTTTGTAGCTAGGATGTATGTATTGATTTATTTTTTCACAAGCTATCAGTCCCAGGAAGTGGAATTCAGCAGGTTGAAACAGGTCGGTTGTCTGAAGGTCGCATAGCGTGAAACTCGAGTAACCAATAATAAAAAAAATCATAACAAATGATGGTTCATTGATATAACCTTAGCTCGGATACACACTTTTACCACAGCTATAACTGTTTTGGTTTTTCCTCTCGTATAGGTGCCACGATATGGCCATTTTAACAAATAGGCGCTTATGACGCGATGATGAGAGGTATAGAACAGCAAGCCATACAAACACCCTATTAAATTTGAGGTTCCGTTAGAACAACAATTGCTTTATACACAGTGAGCAGACTGATAGAAAACCAAGAGGTTAAAACAGACTGAAATTGTTCAGTTGTCTGAAGATCTCTTCTTGTCAAACTTCAGCAGGGATACAGGCTGAAATTATTCAGTAGTCTGAAGATCATGACTTGTCGAAACACAGAACAAAACACTCGTGAAAAACTGAGTAACAAAATTTTACATGCATCCGTAAATTCATTCACCTGAATAGTATTCGATGTTTAGCCACTCTATCTTTACTGATCTACGTTGTTAAAATAAAGAAACGTCATAAAACAATTGAAAAATCATTAGACGTTGGCAAACCGTTCAATATCGCCTCTATGGGTGTCGGTTGGGTTGGATACCGAATAATATTATAGTTATAAGTGGTGCAACACCTGTTCAAAGTGAAACATAACCTCAAAATCATTAGCTGTAGGTAAAACTGTTCTATATCACCTATATCGGTAGGTGTTGATATCGATAGGTTTATATGTGGGTCGACTATCGAATATTATATTGCAGTAGGGAATTTCTTCAGTGACATTAACCTGTTTTATTTGTCCTGAAAATCGTAAATCCTCGGATATCGAAAGTGAAATTGGATATCAGGCATGGGGAACAAAATGCTGCACATATTTCATTAAATTCGTTTATAGTGTAGTCATATGAAAAGGTGATGTTCTTCATAGCCTGTGACACATCGGTTGTCCCTAAAGAAAGGTGCAAATGGCCCCACTACAGCCTGTAACGGCCTGTTACAGCCCCTATTGATATAAATGTAATATACAGTAACAATATCTAATGTATTTCTAATTACCAAACTATATATATAATATAACATAATAAGATATACACACATAGATATATAAATATTGCTATTTCCAGCCGTGCAAGATTTCCAAGTATTATACCATTACCTTCGTTTTGACTATCGTCAGCCGCCATTTTCATTTATTTCCCATCTATATCAAACAAGATTAAAACTGCTTTTAGAAATATTCGGCTAGTTCTCTTGCCAAGAGCTTTGTTTTGCTTCCTTTCACAATCTTCGCATCAGTGTAACAAAGAGACGGGTACAGGCAAATTTACACTGTTCAATCAAACACTTATATAACTCACAGTAACCTTAGTATATGATAATCTATATACGTTATTTAACACAGTGACACACTCGTTCATATTACCGTCACTTACAATCGTATTCTTCTATAATCTTGCCCCCCTCTCGGCTAAATCAATGCGGATTTCAAATTAAATACTTTTATTAATTATAAATAGATGACCTAGTTTACCTTTTATGTAAATGTATGTTTAAAATCTACTGACTTCAGTGTTCAACGTAGCGAAGCATTACTAAATTAAACATATCGTTATAAACCGTGGACTAATTATACTCAAGGGATTGTAAAGAGGTTTTCTAAAATTGTATGTGTATCGGGGACACTGATAGCATTAATTTGCACCATTCTTTTTTCTATCAGACGTCTTAAGTTGCTGCAAATCAATTCCTCCTTTTCCGGAAATATAAACTATATGATATATATTATAGATATATACCCAGTAAGTAAATAAATACTCGTATTTTGAATATATGTATAAGAGACCGTCTGTTGTCTTGTAATACATAAAATTTTAATTTGTAAATTGACAAGATATTCTAATTTTATAATATTTTATTTTAATAGCTTTTTGTCATTTTATTACTTTCCTACGGAATTTGGAAATCACAATCACATAGTCGATAAAAACAGATAAAAACTAAAATCTTAGAAAAATTAGGTTGCTGCAAATACACTAAAACTAAGCACTTGATTACGCCTCCATTGCCAATTCTGTTTAGATTATATAAAGCCTTTTGCGATAGTGATGTCATAAAACGGTTAGTTTCAATGGAATTACAGTACACATAGACGACTGATTGAAAAAAATGGTACCAGTCGGTGCTATCAGTATCCCCGATAAACATGCGAAATTAAAAATAATATATTTACAATCTCTTAAACTGGGTGGTTGAAGTTAGTTACATATCTTTCTTGGCTACCATATCGACCAATATCATTTCCCCCATTCGAACTATTAGGAATATTAGTCTTATTGTATCAGCATTTTATATTTTTGTTCTGGTGAGAAACATCTTCGCTAAAGGTGACACCAACCTGATTGTAATGACGTTTTGAAGCGTTTTCTACATCTACGGGTTTCCAACCTGTAATTATCCCCAAGTTATAATTGTTATATTATACAATGAAATTACGTATATGCAGTATGTACATATAGAAAGTATAATTAAAATCATATCAATTCGCAGACTCGCATAATAAAATGAAAATGATAATATCCTAAAAATTACATACAGATACTGAGATAATATACACCCACTGGCAGCTTTGATTTTGAATAAGAGTACAGTAACAATCACCAGTATGAAATATTCAACCTTCAATCATACACATTTTGAGGTGATATGGAGCAAGATAACCAAGTTTTGTTAAACCTGACAAAAATCAAGTCGTTTTATCAGCTAAATAGTAAATGTTTTTTTCAAGAACAAGGTCAATTAGTCATTTTTGGCCATAAATATTTTTTGATTTTTATGATTTTAAATAAGGTTCATCCTTGGGTGATTACAAATACTCACACCAAGTTTTGTCAATAATCTGACTCTTAATTGTAGAGAAATATGTCTCCTACGTTTTCTGAATGTTTCAACTAATAATATCGAGCCATTCATTATAAACCTGGTTTCCCCCTGTCAGTGATGAAGGTAAGAAGGGCTGACATGGAAAAGCGTCTAGTCGTTCCGATGGGACGATAAACCGAGGCCCCGTGTGCTACAGGCTGTGCACGTTAAAGATCCCTCGACAGTTGGAAATCGAAAAAGAGCAGGCTAATGCAGCTGTCCTGGCAAAATGTCCCTCATTGCACCCTGCATGGCGTTGCCGTCTTCATTAGCCCACATGGTGCAGAAAAGTTAGACGTAAAACTCTATTCATTTCATTTCATTTTTATTTCATTTTAAAGTCAAACACCAAAACTGGGTCAAACTGCTTAATTAACAATTAGTCCTTCTCAGGTTTTGAATTAACCCTTAGAAAAAAAAATTCTGTTTTATCTAGTAGATACATAGATATAAATAGCATACTTTAGAAATATTTTTAGGTATCATTTACGACGTTATTAACAATAAAAATGTTTTATAAAAAAGCGGAATGCGTCTTTAAGCTTCTTGAATTAGACTTGAATCAAATTTATAAGATAAATCAAATTACTTACTGCTTTGTGAACACAGTAGGATGTCCAGCACTAGCCCGGAACTAAGTTAAGTCCATGAACAACTGTAAATGAATAACATTTGACACCTGTGGACGTGTAAAAACTACTTTAATTCTAGCAAATCAATACCAAAAGGCGATATTGATACTTCGTAACATCTTGTACATTTATGGTATTATAAAGGTATATTATAATAGGTCTTATTTTGATATTTCATGATAATATTGTATTTGTACGCCTGTGGTCATTACCAACCAACCACGACCAAACCAACAGCCTACAGTCAAAACTATTAAAAATGATAAAAAATTGTAATCAATCTGGGGATTGCAATTAACCATACACTATGGCTCACGGACGAGAAACGTATACAGCTCCGTCAACCGTCTACATATTTATACACCACCTAAAGTCACATCGTTCAGTCTACCAGTCATCCAGAATGAAAACCCTGTACTGGATGAGTCGTGTAAAAGTAATATGATAATGAAGGCAGGGCAACATAAATGCTGCCTATANACCCCCCCCCCCCCCCACTTTAAATCCATAAAGACGCAGCCATGATACCAGGCATGGTATGGTAACCGCCCCACACACACACATTAAATCCTAAAAGACGCAGCCATGGTAACAGACCCCACCCCTTCCATTAAATCCATGTAGACGCAGCCATGGTAACAGACCCCACCCCTTCCATTAAATCCATGAAGACGCAGCCATGATAACGGAACCCAATATGACCACATAAAATAAAAAGAACTTTATGGAGTATTTCACTTATATTTGTCAAAAAGTAAAGAAACTAAGACATATAGAAATAGGCATAGGCAAGGAAGCACAAGATATAATAACTATTTCTGACAGTTATAAAGTCAACGTTTGACATGCTTATACATAGTCCGAAACATCTGCCTCTATTCCAGCCTATTGTCAGCTGGAGTAGATTCAGAAAAAAACACACCTCCGAAGATGCGTTTTTTCTAACATAGTATTAAGTCATCTTTACGATGATTGCAAATTAGTGTTGTCACCATCTTAACTGTCGTTTTGTTAGTATCACGTGACCTTTGAACTTTTGGCCGATCCGAGATCAGTTTCTTGAATAAATAACTTTGATGGAACCGGAGACTACAAAAAAATTCATCTTTCCAAATATATCTGGGTTTTGCAGATCCGAGATATCTAAATAGGTTGAAAATAAAACCTGTGGAGATGCGGAACGTCTCCATTTAACGGGGCCTAGTTTTTCTGTCTCTACACCGGCCTACATCCTTTCCAAATAGCTATTAGAGGCTCGAAGACAGATCTTACGGCCTAGCTTGCGAAATGTTGAGTACATAAATGTCAGAATATTGCCGTAGAGAGCGTTTCTTCACCTATTGTGCTCCAAAATTCATTTTTGCTTTTACACGTTCAAAACATCTCTTCAGAACCAAATAAAATAATACTATAGACAACGTTTATGTTCATTCGTCGTTGTGGAATATAATCTTGATTAATCTTTAAATAATTTTCAGTCAACTCGCATTTTCAAGAACAAGGGCAATAACTCATACTAATTTGATTTTCAATAGGGTTCGTCCTTGGGTGATAAAGTGTTTACAAGCTAAAATTGAACGCGTATTAAAGAACAAGGGTAATAACTCATACTAATTATTTTTTTATTTTTTGAATCTCAGTAGGGTTCATCCTTTGGTGATTACAAACAGTCATACCTAGTGTCGTCAAAATCAGTCAAGAAAGAGTGTTTACGAGCAATTGTGGTCGGAATGATGGACGGACGGACCGACGGACATGTGGGCGTACAAAAATAGTACCCAATACATCAATTGTAGATTGATTCAGGAATAAACCTACAAAAACATGTTAAAAGGCTTATGATGTTTGACAACCAAGATTTTGGGGTCAAATTGGGGATCATTTGTCTGTTGTTTACCGCCCACTGCATCAGTACAGTTTTATCTTGTTCACTCAGACCCTCACTTGAACAGTTGATTACTGTGTAAATATCGTCGAATATTTTGTGAATTGGGCAATTATCTACGTTAACGATTACCAAATCACATTTTAAAGATGTCTTTAAAATACAGTTAATTTCAAAATCATTTTTAAGAGCAGTTTTTATATTTGTTAGTGGCTATCACCAAACACTTCAGGCTTTTGTTAATAGCATTTGAAATTTCGGTAATTTCCACCCTTCCTGGAAGAACATCTTCTTGTCCACAAAAAAGTTTTAAATCTAAAGGTTTGATTATTGGAAGTATGTTTTGGTCAATAAATGATCTATCAGAGGAGGTACTTGAACTTGAAATATATAGGTGATATTGAAGGTCTGGGTTAATCTGGATTCCAGCTAGTCCCTTATTACCAGACATTTTCATGACACAATAAAATTGAGATATTTTGCAACGCAGGAAAGGCAAAAGAAAAAATTGTAGAATTCCAATAATAACGAAAGCTACAAATAAAAGGGAGACAAGTTTTCCTGTAATAAAACTTTCATATAGGATGTTCTTATCAAAGATTGATTCCACCAAAGTATTGATGTGCTCACAGCTTTCAGGTTTCAGTTCTTCATTGGACCAGCAGTTCTCGTTATAAACAACCACTGCTCGATTTTTATTGTTGGAAATATTTTCAGTGACGATTGTAGACTCTTTAGGTTTGATGTACACTTTGGTAGGATAGTCTATTTTTTCAATCCATTGGATATTATCATGCTTGTTATAAACCTTTCTCAGTATTGTAATTTGGTACACACCGTACATAGATGGAGATATACAAGTCCATATGATTCCCACACTTCCCTTCCAGTGATTCACCTCTGTTGCGTTCATGTACGTTATGTCATTGTAAGCTACTGATATACCATTTAAGTGTATTAACCATGCATTGGCTCGAGCAGAGTATGAACATTGAGTATCAAATGACTGAATATCTTGACTACTTCGAGTAAAACGAACAGAAAAATCATCTATTTCTCTGAGGTGTCGAAAATACACAGACATAGTTACCAAAGTTCCAGGAACTATAAACAGTGTTCTGATTCGGGGTTTCTCTTGCAGTAGATGGAACTCACCAACCCAGTAATGTTTGTATAGATTATAATACTGGCGTGCAATATCCTCCTTATTGAATTCTGGCATCCGAAGAGAAGGAGAGTTTACATTACATATGCAACAACAGACATAATTTTCAGTCCGTCGTTTAGGTTTAGGTTTCCGTTTTGTGTCGCTTTTGGTTTTAACTGATTTCCATATTATCATGTAACACTGATACATGCTGAAATCATCCTCGGTAACAGAGTAAATGGTCAGATTAGTGGTGACCTCGACTTGGCTTTCAGAATAGTTTGCAACTTCCCATGTAATAAAATGGTTAGTTCCATTTACTACCGCTTCATTGTTCTTGAGCCAAAGTATGTAACTTACATCAGACATAGTCCCATTGAATGACATTCCACATGAAAACATCGCATCCTCGCCAATGTATCTTGTTTGATTTTCGAGAACAAAGGGGGGACCCTTTTCAGGAATAGGATGATCTCCAGACCTAAACAAGTTTCTGTTAGTATGAATATGCCTGGCGCTTTGATTTACCATTTTGACGAAATCCTTTCCAAGAATCCAATCTGAATAGAAATATAATACACTACACATGAAACTTATGACAAGAACAACGAAGACGATAGTTTTACATAAACATTCCCTGTAAATAAGCTTCCTCATCTTGCATCGGTACGGTTCTACTGTAAATAGAATCCAAAACACTATTTCCACCTGCAATGATATTTATAAAGCAAGAATGAAATATTATATATGATATTGTGTTTATTACAAGTTAACTAGAGTTTCTCTTTGCATCATTCTGACTTCCTCAGGTATGTGGTTTCTGAAGTTCCAGAAAAACCAAAGCATGTCGTCACTACTACAAATACCGCATCTTACCACATCCTATTTTGCTGAAACAACAAATCGCGGAAGTCAGATAAAAATTGGCAATAGTAAATATTGAGTAAAGTAAGTAAATATCACTGGTATTCAAGTAGTAGAACATCTTTATTGAATTATCCTATTAATTTCAACATTTCCACTCCTCATTTTACAGTTTGCGACATTAAAGCTGTCATGCTTTAATTACACTAAAATGAATAAAAAAAATAAGCCTGGTTGTCGGCCCTTGGTTCGCCATATCTATTTCTAGCAGTCGCCATATTTGTTGAATAAATATGGCCGTCAAACCCACTATAAAGGCCAGATTACACACGCCCTTAAGTTGATTTCTAGATCTTGGACATTCAACATCAATCACAACTCATAGTGCAACCAGCTAACCTTGAAAATACCCAACCTTGTCTTAAAACAATAAAAATTAAAACACAGGTAAGAAAATACAAATTCCCACATTACCGAAGATTATCTTACATCTCAACATGTACACTACATCGGCAGCTATCTACTTCTCGCAGCCCTGAAAGCAAGTTTTTCAGGCAAAATTCTAGGTTAGAGATTCGGGCAATCTCAGATATCTCGCGAAATTTCACTAGCAAGGATATGACTTGTGCCAATTCAAACAATCATCTATTTTGAAGTATTTCATTAATAATCCTAAATTTGTTTACAACTGACAATTTCTAGTTTTGTTTATTGTTTGCATGATATCAAAGTCAAGGTTGGCTAGATTCAAGGTTGGCTAGATTTAAGGTTGGTTGCTTTCATTGTGAGTGGTGATAAGCGATGTTGACAGTCGAGGTCGAGATACAAACTGACCGATTGGGCATGTCTTATATGCCGGTTCAATGGTGGACAGAAAATTTCAATTTTCAAAGCATGATAGCTTTAATGGACTTTAGTGTGGATAATATGTTTTTCTTTGAGTTCAAAATTTGACCATAAATCTGTCTACACAGTGTAGACAGAGTTGCTACACAGTGTAGACAGTTGCTACACAGTGTAGACAGTTGCTACACAGTGTAGACAGTTGCTACACAGTGTAAACAGAGTTGCTAAACAGTGTAAACATAGTTGCTACAAACATACCCGTCTACGAAGTGGATTATATTTAATCCTGCAAGAAAACGCTGGACTGTAGTTAACTCCCTTGCGATATAACTCTCGAGCACTCAATCTGACATCATTGTGCTGTGTAAAGTTAGACTGCCCCCCCCCCCCCCTGCAAAATTCGAACAAATGCTCAATTGGAGCTGATATATGTCTCTATCAGCTATTGTCCTTTCCTACTCATACAATGAAAGGCTTCTCAAACTAGTATCAAGGAATTCATATTTTTGAAAAACAATTTGATATTGCAATCAAAAACTCCTAATTTAAAATATCTTAATATCTTTTCAGCCCGGTCACCAGGAATGAATTGGTGTATCTATATCTTTTTGTTCAAAGACGCTGTAAATAAACCAATCTCTGTTGTACTGATTTTGCATGTGCTCTCACTTGCTGGGGTCCAGCCACACAGACCCACCCTAACGACGGGGTTGCGTCTTTCTGGGTCTTAAATGCTTGGCAATATAGTTAACAACTAGTGCTATTTTAATCTTTATTAATCAGCTTGTGTTTACAGGCATTATTCAACTTTACCATATATATTAACTTTGCCATGCTGCCGTAAAAACTGAAAATATAACAAAGGTTGGTCTTACAGACTTATACAACTAATACTTAAGAGGGTACTAAATTTCACAGGGGACACTAAATTTCATAAGGCTTTGATTCTATTGAGGTCTATGGCTCATGATAGCTTTAGACACAGGAACAAATTTGGGTCGACACCGCCTGAACAGCAATTCAGCGTGGAAATTAAAATACACATAAAAAATAATACGGAGGATTCGGTGATTGTATATTTACCTCGTTTCTCGGCTTACTTGACTAAAACCAAAGATAACAGTGATGAAAAATCACACTGCATCTAAAACGGTGTAGTGGCACATAAAATACAGATTTGATTGATAACGAAGCACACAATTTGGGAATATTAGTAAACATCGGTAAGAGTAATAAACGAATAGATCTCCATGTGATCAAATGCGTGACCTCCGAGTTCGAGAACAAGTGTTTCATTCGCTGAATCAATGTAACATACAACGTGATGCAGAAATTCAAGTCTTTGTTTGCGTTTGTGCTCTTTGGCCAGTTTGGGTCTAAGTCAAAAACAAATCGCGAATGTCAGCTCCATTGCAGTAATTGATAGTTGGTGCGACAGAACATGATCACTGTTTCTGAACATCTGATACCACCCTACAACTGGATTTGTCACTTTGTGAGAGTCTACATAGCTGACATTGTTTATTTGGTATATTAATCAAGCGTAACCTACCTATATAGTCTCTCTATCTGAGTGTAGCCTATCACATATATGTGGTGTAATAACAACTATATGTTCTTGTTTTTTAGACAATACTGACGTAATCATTATTCTAAGCATACCATTGGTTGTTATAAAAAGACAGCCAATAAGCTTATAATAGATTTCGTGTGGCATGTTTCGATTGGATGTTAATTAAAGAAAGTATGAGCTAAAGTGAATACCACAGTGTATATAAATAGACATAGATTATTGGTACATTTATCTAGTAGACCCAAACATCTGCCTCTATTCCATCTTCTAATATTATTAGCTGGTGTAGACAGGAAAACCAGCCCCCCTTATGTTGGAATTTGTGCACCTCCGAAGGTGCGGGTTTTTTAAACATATTTATTAAATCGGATCTGCCGAACTCAGATATATGTGGAAAAATGGATATCTTTTGTAGTTCTGTCAAACCATCATTATCCCCCTACACTATTTATGTCACATCTGCGATTCCATTTAAGTTTTTTTTAATGAAGCAAATTTCTAGTCGGCGATTTAAGACCAAATATTGTTAAAAAACGCAACTGCAGTGCTGTCAGGGACGTAGCGTGACCATTTTGATGCGTGTGTGTGGCTGTAGCGTTTCAGTTGAACTGACGGTCACTGGAATGGTCGATGCTAAATCTAATAAGTAAGCTTTAGCGAGACATGGGTAAAAACGTAGCAACATCTCGCAAATTCTTTGTGCCACTCTTTCCGATGTCATTTACCATCATTTCGATATCTGTCAACAATGCATCGGGATCTTTCAAGTCATTGGAATATATTGCACACAACTTGTCGACTTGTTGCTTGGCATAACTGAAACATTTTTGCCAACAACACGGTTTTCGAACAGTTACCGGTAACATCATAACCGACACAAGGTTTTCACGCTTTCAGTTAACCAATCAGTTTTACCGACGGCACCAGCCATAACTGTCTTTTACCGACCGACTCCACGTTTTACCGACAAGTTCATTAAAAGTAGGGGTTGTGACACCCCACACACCCCGTACGCTACGTCCCTGGGTGCTGTGGAAAATCAGCATTTAACAGGGCCTTGTATTTCTACTTCTACTCCAGCCGAAAACTGTCAAAATATCTACAAGATGTACATGTTTCGGACTAATTTATATAATATATAATAAAATAATGAATTAGAATTTAATCCTGTGCTAAACGATATATTTATCTATATATATATATCTATCATGGTTCATGTAATAAGTAGGTTTCTATTTTTTGACATGCTGGCTGTAAGTTCTCGCTTATGTTATATGAATTATATTTCGCTCTTTATACAATACAAAGCGAAAGTAGCACTGACTGCTTTTATATTTTTTTTCTGGTGACGTTAGTTGCTGAAAGTTCAATCAGAACTTAGAAAAAACATAATAATTGTAGGAAATATGACCAGAACCAATTTTATCTTATCGTGCGAATAGGTAAATCGGTAAAGTTTTGCAAGTTGATGAAAAAGTTGACAATTACTTAATTTAGTCTTCGGAATGGGGGAAAATTTAGAAGTTAAAATATATTGACCTTTTATATTCTAGGCCTAAAGGGCTTCTTGTAGTAAAAAAAAAAAATAAAAAAATAAAAAATAAATTATCTTCATAGATTTTGTGTTTCATGTTAATATGGAATGGAATATAATATTTTTTTCATATTCTAGTTAATTTGTAACCATCTCCATATTTCATCTTAAATTAACTAGTATGACCCTGTGTTCTTCCCCTGCTGATATTATAAGAATAGAACACTAGAGTTGAGATATAAATTATGTTCCTATCAATATCACAATAGATCGATCATAGGCCAAAACCCGACAAAATCCACTTTAATAGAAACAGTGTTAAAATTACCGAAGATCAGCTGTCTCTGAATCTGTGCTTCACGCCTTTTTTACCAACTGCGCTGCACCCGTCAAAATTATAAAAGCTGAATTAACAATTGCTGTGGTTAATGGGAGGCAACTCTCTTGACTATTTACGTTGCATGTCGCATCGATTCAATTTTGTCATTCTGTTTTTTTTATAGCATAAATTATAACCAATGACATTTCCCTCGTTTGACGAAGGAATTAGAGTGAAATCGTTTTCTCATTGTTACATGCTGATTATTATTATTATTATTATTAAGACACTTATAGAGCGCCATCTTTCACAATATGTGCTCAGATGCGCTGTACAATACAATTCATAAAGTATCAACATATTGGTAAAATTGGCAAATAAGTATAAAAATATAAATGAATAAACGTAAAAATATGTATAAATATAAGGAATAAAACAATCTATAAATTAAAAGCTTTCTTAAATAAAAACGTCTTGAGAAGAGACTTAAAAGTTACTAAAGAAGTGTAGCATCTAATGTTAAAAGGTAAAACATTCCAAAGTTTAGGGGTCTGGACGGTAAAAGAGCGCTCACCGAAAGTTAAAAGTCTGGCTGATTTATGTACAAGTAAAAAGTTATCAGAAGATGAGCGGAGAGTGCGGCTTGGTGTATACATTTGCTCCATCCCAGTAGAATGTATTCAGTTTTATCATCATTTAATTTAAAAAAATTATTGTTCATCCATACACGGATATCTTCTATACAGCATTCAATCTTGGATTTACAAATGTTAAAACTATTATTTACAGAGGGTTTAAAAGATAAATATAACTGTGTGTCGTCTGCGTATAAATGAAAATCGAGACCATGCCTGTGAACTATATTAGATAG